ACTGGTGGGTGGACCTGCACACACAATTCAGCTTGTAAAAATCAGTGCCTGGAGGGGAAGGGTTGTGTTCAGTACACTGCTGGCTCCCCAGTGCCTAGAGCATGCTCTGGCTCACAGGGACACCAGGAACTACTGAAAGATCGAACACAAAGGACCCAAAGTCCCACGTTTGATTTTCACAGCATCACCTCTTTTCAGCATGGGATATCAGAACAAATAAACAAACCCACGTGTGAGTGTTCTGCTTTGCAGTACTGTATTCCCGAAAGCAACCAGCCAATGACTAGCTTGTTTACATGCTGTGTCTTGAAGCATGGGTTGGCAGGTTACCTCTAAATCTTCCTGGGCAGCTCAGTGAGGCCCAGAGCCCCCGCTTGATACAGGGTTTTCCTGAACTGGCAAGTGTATCCAAGTGTGCACGTTATGGATGCTTCCTGTAAGCACATTGGTCTTTACCATGGAAGTCATGACAGGTTCCTCATTAAAGTGAAGACGCGAATATCCCAGACAGCACACTTCCTTCTGCTTTAGTTCAGATGAGCTCTGCACACAGAATGACTGGGTTTCCGTCACGTTCTGCGGAGCCGCCCTATGCCAGCCGCGTGCTCTGCCTCTGGATGCCAGGGCTTCGTCGTGTCCGGAACTTCCCCAGGGCCCCTCTGCATCTCCACACTGACCCTGGGACAGGTCTGGTGGCCATTTCAAAAGAAAGGACTTATGCAAATTAGAGCCCGTACTGAGCTGGCCTTCCTTTCAGAGCACCCTCTGAGGGCACCGCCCTGCGGGATGGCCCCAGCGTCCTGCCGTGCCCGCTCTGGCTTGGTGCCTCCTGCTACCTTGCCTCCTGGCGAGCTTGCGCTGGCCTCCGTCCGACAGCCTCGGAGGGGCTGCTCTGACCATGCTCCTTAACTAGTGCCTCAGAGACCACGGGCATTTCAGGGGACAGAGGGCCGTGGAGACCACGGACAGCCGCCCCCTCACCCCATCCCCTGCCCACCGTCTCCTCGGAACATGAGGCTCCAAACACCATACAATGATGAATGGACGTTAAAATACACAATGTTTTAAAAACCGAAGTGGAAATGGATTTTCCTTTATTTCTCTCATGCCAAATTTGATCTTTTGGATAGAATTGGGATTGAAAATAACCCCCCAAATTAATTTAGTAAGTGAAGTCATGTTCTAATGTTTCTCTGCACTTGATCGAGTTTCACTGTGCAGGGACACTGTGGTCAAACAAACAGGCCGTCCACAGAGCCCGTTTGGCCCAAGGGCGGCTTGAATATGTTTTAGAAGCGTCGCCAATTTCATATCATAGTGCAGGTACTAGAGATGTTAGTTGTCACTTCTTTCTGGACCTCAGTTCTTAAATCTTAAGAAGAGGTGGAGCTCTTGGGTGCGAACCTAGTTAGGGGCGACATGGCCAAACGCACCAAGAAGGTCGGAATCGTCGGTAAATACGGAACCCGTTATGGCACCTCCCTCGGGAAAACGGTGAAGAAAATTGAAATCAGCCAGCATGCCAAGTACACCTGCTCCCTCTGTGGCAGAACCAAGATGAAGAGACGAGCGGTGGGATCTGGCACTGCCGTTCCTGCGTGAAGACAGTCGCGGGTGGCGCCTGGACCTACAGCCCCACTTCTGCCTCGCTGTCAAGTCCGCCATCAGAAGACGGAAGGACCAGTGGAAGTGCACAGTTTGAAACATCGCTAGCCTATATAAATGGGTTAATTTATATAACAAGGTTACTTTGATTTGTTAATTTTATTAATTAGATGTCCGGATTTACATTGTATTAATTTTGCTTTCTCAAAAAAAGACTTGGGAGTTAAAATCCATCTAATTTTCAGTAGTCAAATAATACTTAACATAAGAATATACGCCTTGCAGTTTAGGTGTGTGTCTTAGCTTTTTATAAGTCTGTTTTTGTCAGTTCTTCTTTAAGGTTACATTGGTTCAAATTGTGTAAACTTATTATTAAATCAGTTAATTTTTTAATGTTTCTAAAAAAAAAAAAGAAGAGGTGGAAAGGAACCAACTACAAGTCGCTCCCGGGGCTAAGATTCTTCCAGTTTGCGGTCCTCTCCTCCAGAGCAGCATTAAGGATCTCAGGAGGTGGGGAGAACTGAGGGCAGCGGACATGCACAGGCCACCCTGCTCTGCGACACAGACACTCACACAGAGACACACATTCACACACACACACACTCTCACACAGACTCACACTTACACACACAGACTCTTATAGAAACATACACTCACATACACAGACACACACAGAGACACACACTCATACACATATAAACACACACAGACTCAGACACACATACAATCACATATACAGATAGACTCACGCAAAGATAGATATATTCACAGATACACACACATACTCTCACACAGCCACACACTCTCACACATATACACACTTAACGTACACAGACACACACACACACACACACACAAAGACTCACAGAGACACAGATTCACATACACAGAAACATACTCTTACACAGACTCACACAGACACACTCACATATACACACACACGCACACAGACTCAATATACTTACACACTCCCTCACATAGATACACACAGACACTCACATGCACACACTCACACACACTCACGAACACACACACACACATGTACACACTCTCAGACACATGCACACACACACACATTCTCATTCTGCCTTTACATGATTCTGTCACGACTCCCTGCCCTTTATGTCCAGGTACATGTTAGAATTAGTTGTGTTACTAGTGATAAACAAGCAGAGAAAAACACCATCTGATAATAAGTTTTTTATATACTTAAGTTTTGTGTTTTCTTAACTTTAGGAAAGAAGGGTTATGGTTTTTTTTGGGTTTTTTTTTATCCTCACCTGAGGATATTTTTCCATTTTTTGTACAGATAGAGTGGGAGGGAGAGAGAGGAAGGGAGAGAGAGAGAGAAACATTGACGTGAAAGGGACACATCGAGTGGCTGCCACCCGCACGACCAACCAGGGCCGGGGACAAACTGCAACCGAAGTACGTGCCCTTAGCGGGAACCGAACCCGGGTCTCTCCGGACCGCAGGCCGACACTCTAACCGCTGAGCCAAACTGGCCAGGGCAGGGCTATGGTTTTGAATACGAGTCTGTCGTTGTTAACGCCTCAGGTTTGCAGAGTCCTTCCTTCGCTCGTTCTGCACAGGTTTCTTCATCTGCAAGCTCATTCTCTGGGCCAGTTGCTGAGTTCAGCACCGGCATGGCAGAGGGACTATCGCTGATGATACGGTTATTCATTAAAATATCTTAAAAACATGAACTTAATAAAGTTGATAGAAAGAGGAGCAGGGCTGTGTAAGATCATCCATGAGATTCCAGACAAGAATTGTCACCTTTTAATAGAAGGTTATTGCCCTGAATCCTACTGGCTCTCTCCGAACATTGTAAACCTATGATAGAGCCTTGAACTGGATGTTTTTGAACTTGAAAACTTTGTTCTTTAAAGTGTATTTTTCTGTTCACCTCTTGCTTCAGTTTCTTGTAAAATATGTTTTTCTTTATTTCAAATCCTTACCCTAGGGGCATCCTTGGAATGGATATTTGTGAAGAGAATATATTTGTTAAATACCTTGTGCCTCAGGGGCATTGTTGCTCTAAAATAGGCTCAAATTATTAGTGTTCCCTGCTTTGGCTTTGCATAAGCAGCAGCATCTAACAGCTGCAAAGCATTTAGTGCACAGGAATCCTATCTGTTCCTCACCAGCTCCACTCCTCCGCCTCGCTCTGTGTTCCTCAGCATCTCGGTCATGGAGGGAAGAGCTACAGTGTATGGGTTACACTGACGGCCAGTGGCCAGTGGCCAGTGTCGAAGGTGGTACTGAATCAATGCAGCCACTGGTGGGCAAGACATACGTTCTTGGCATTTTGAGTGCATCTGGATTGGGGCTGAGGACAGGGCATAGAACTTGATAATACTCCAGGGTGGAGAAAGGTTTGGGGAAGCCAGTTCATGCAGAAATCAGTGAAAACACTGGTAGCTATGAAAATTGCGGTTTGGTCTGCGGGTAGGGTAACGGTAAGTTCCAAGGGCAGGGAGCTCATTCGTGATGTTTTGAGACATCCTGGTTGCAAAGAGAGTCATAAAGAGGTAACGTCTATGGGAAAGGCCTGTATTCCTCCGGTTTGAAAACCAGAAGGAGGTTTTGACAGAGGTTCATGTTCATGGGAAGAAAGCAGTGCTTGGTGGTCGGTAACGTGAGCGTGTGACTGTTCATGGACAAACACCACCTTGTGGTGCTGCCGGTCAAGTCTTCATGAAACTGAGATTGCAGAAATTTGCAAAGAAAGAACCGAAAATGGGGAAGGGTTAAAAAAAAAAAAAAGGAATTATGAACAGTGTTAAGATATACACATTTAGGAGAGGTATATTAAAATTTTAACTAAGTCATATTCCAGGATTTCCCATTTGCTAGACTTTGTGTAAGAAAAAATTTTAAAGAATATGGGATTCGTTGCCTTTGTTTTGAAGGCATAGGAAAGTTAGAAAATATTTCATTTGCCTAAATAAAAAAAAATCACCTTGATAAGAGAACAAGAAGATATACTTATTTGTTTTAGGAGCTGGTGAGTGAAATGGCAGTCACATAAACTATGTTTATGGGTGAAATAGCATGCCATGCATTTATGGACAGTATGAACACAGAATCACTTTATTGTTCAGAAATGGATTCAATAAGAAGCAATTTCAGTTAACTATAAAGCAATAGTTATCATCGTTTCTCAACTTCAGGGTCCCAATAAAATGAGTCTATTAAACTACTTAACAGTTTATTTAATTTAACAGTTAAATTTTTAAAAAGTAAATAAAAATAACTTTACTTGCTTTTCGTATATTGCTACCAAATTTTTGGTGCACACAAAAGAATTTCTTTATCACATGACTTAATTAACAGCAGTATTTGATCACTGATTCCAAGTAACTGACTCCTCTTATGTTCTTGTTTTACAGCTTGGCTCGTCCTCTTCTGTGCCTTTTACATCTATTTTCTCTCAGCTTTCTGTGACTGTTGTGGTTCCTCTCATCATCGGACAGGTAAGGTCGCCAATTCTATCTGCTCTTTTCCTCAGAGGTCAAATTGTGAATTCTTGTGAAATGTCAGGCGTCAGAAGAAAAGATAGAGGAAGAGATGGTCAAGTGAAAATACAAGACAGTGCAACACGGGTTTCATCCCTCATAACATTCTCATCTTTTTAACCTTTTTTTTTTTTTTAAGTTAATAACATTATGCTTTACACATGGCCATGTACAGGGACACCTGCACAGAATTGTGATTTTTTTTTTTTACATTTACTATCCCTCCTCTAGAGCCCTGCAGCTAGCTCGAAAATAGTTAGCAAACCATTACCTTATTCTGCGGCTTCGATAAGGTCTCGGCGTTTATGAGCATTGCTGAGAACAAGCCTGTCTCTGGCTGGCTGCTGCATAGACCCTCCAACAGCAGTTATCACGTTTGTGATCGTGTAGTTGGTAAAATAAGCATTTAATTCTATCAGCTCTTAAATCGGATCTTAGAAATTTTACTTTCCTTTATCATTCTTATTGAATTGGATAATAGGATAGATCCTTAACTTTAATTTCTTATAACAAGGTAATAATAAGCATATAATTTAATTATAAGCCTACAGATTTTAGAACAAGGCTGCTTTATTACTCAGGTAGCCACAGTCAAGGACAGAATTTAATGCACTACTGAATGAGTGAGTCTCGGGAAACAATGTATTTGGATGATTCAGAGCACAGACATGGGTTTAAGAGCCAGCAGAGTCTAGGCTTAGTTCTACCTTTAATTTGCTGTGTGGCCTTTGGCAAATCGTAGTCCTTAGCTCCTTAGTTATATTAAATCATATAACAGTAATGCCATCCTAAAGGGTTGTTGTGAGGATTTGATGCAATATGGATGCATATAAAGGCTTTGTCATTAGAGAGGCCGACACAGGTGAGTGCTCTATAGTGTCTGTTATCACCATCGATACCCGATTCCCTACAATCCTGCACAGAAGGACACTCTGTGAAACATTAACTATGCAAAATGATGTGTGGGTGCACACGTAATATTGACCAGCTGCCTTCGGTTAGGGTCTCTGGGCAATAGACTCTGAGACCAGGGTTTCCGTGTGGGAAGTTGACTGGGGAGAACCTTTGGGCTCAACACTTTTGGGAGAGTGAAGAGGAGGAGGTGGACTGCGATGCAGTCCTGCAGTGGCCTCAGCACATCCCAGGGTGCCCTGGCTCTGGGAGCCCCCCTGACTGTCCTGCCTGCACAGGGTGCCTGTCTTCATACTCCTGTCCCTCCCACTCCCCAGGAGAGGAGTGACCTCGGGGGAGTCTGCTCTCCTAGCAGCAGCTCCCAGAGACGCTCCACTGAGATCTTCCAGTCAACCAGCACACCTCGTGGCTGTGGGAACAGGCACCCCATCCTGAAGGGGTGGGTCTGGGTGGCTCATCCCAGCATCCACTAGACACACCCTAATCTTTTTTATTAATTGTATACTAGAAAAGGGACTGAATTTAGGATGGGGGGAAGGGTTTTAAAGCACTCAACGAATACCATTTAATTAAATATAGATTGATACTTGAAAAATGACTTCTCCCACAGTGCGACCACAGAACAGGTATTTTGAATAAACTGTGTGCCCCTCCCATCTCTCTCTCTAACCTCTTTGCTACATTCCGACACTCTAGCCTCCTTAGCCTTTTCTCGATTCCTACTTGGTTTTTTTGTTTAGGGGTCTTTCTACCCATCCCTCCACCCCAGCTCATTGTTTATTTGACTCTTTAATTTGTATCTTTTTTGAGCCACCTGCCCGATCCCCTGGTTTTCTTTAGTGCAGCACCTTGTTTGATTCCTTTCTTGTCCTTTTTCACTATTTGCTTATCATTCGTTCCCTTGGTAACTGTTTGTCTCTCCCATTAGACTGTATTGAGTATAGGAGCCATATTTGTTTTGCTAACCATTACATACCCAGAGCATAGGCAGCCAACGAATACGTGCCCAGTGAATGATTGCAGGGAGGAGGAGGCAGAGTTCCGTGGTCAGCGAGGGAAATGCTGTCTTACAGCTTATAGCGATGGAAGGATGCCTACCTGCCCTTCTCAGCTCTAGACAGTTCATGCTGTGGGTAGTATTAGTTTAAACCCACTTATTTTCTTGTTTCTGAAAGTAATTTCCTATACTAACCAGGGCTGATACAGTCTTCTCTTAGTGGATCTTGGAAATGTGTCTAATAATAATAACTGTTTGGCTTAAAACAGATGGACAAAGAAAAGATCTTTGTCTCAGTCATTCAATAGTTTGTTTGTTTGTTTGTTTGTTTTTGTATGTAGAGGGCTATATAATTTATATAATTAAGAATATTTATTCCGAGAGAAAAATGAATTGTTAAATTCCTTATCCTTTACATGCTCAGTAGTGAAGTATTACAGTAAATTATAAAGTAGTAAAGGTAGCCATAAAGTAGTATGTTTTAAAAAAATACTCTAGGTACCAAAGTACTTTAATAACTTTCTTCAGAGGAGACCTGTATGTTTACATCTACCCCCGCCCCCCATATTCCAGGATAGGAATTAACAGTCACACCCAGTCTCCACCTGGAGAAACCACCCGGCCTCGTCCCTCCCCCTCCGTCCATCCTTACGTCCCGGCAGGCAGTGCCTCAGAAGCTGCTCACGTGGGGCCTCTGCTCAGTCACACCCTGGGCGTCCCTTGTCTACACGATGGCACCTCCCAGACCTGTCTCTCTGCTGTGAGCCTCTTCCAGTTCCTGGCCAGGATCTGTGCTGCCTCCAGCGTAGCCCTGGAAAACCCTCAGGTCAGGTCATTCCTCCCCTTAGAAACGTCGCTCCTGGCTCCCTGCTGCCCATTCCTGTGCAGCCCACAGAGCCCTCCGTCACTGGTCCACCTGCCTCTCCTGTCCCCTTCCCCACCTAGGCCCCTGTTCTGCCGGGCCTGCGCACCCCTCCCGGCCAGGCCCTCGAGGCTCCATGCCTCCCCTCGCCTTCCCATCTCTTCTGCCAGCAAATGCCTGTTCGTTCCTTAACCCCAGTGCAGGCCCCGCCCTGACTCCCCTGACCCGACTCCATTCCCGTTCTCCCATGGTCTTAATTCACGTGTTTACCAGGGGAAGTTACAATTTATCTGTGAGCTTCCTAGAAGCAGCGACTCTGTTATAAGTGTATTTGATAGCATGTTCTGCCATAGGGTGGGAGCCGTATAACAAGTCTGGCCGAAGGAAACTGGACTTACCTTCCCAGAGTCCCCAGCACCCACTTTCCCCAGATCCCCAGCTTTGCTCGAGAGAAGCGCCGAATGGCTCTCACCTCATTGTAAAGTCATGAGCCCCAATTAAAATGGTATACAGCACTCCCTAGAAACCTCTCTGCTCCTCATCGGGTTACCTCGTCCTGTGCTGCACCTTCAAGCCCCTTCTCCTCCCAACTCTCCCACTTACCCATTGATCTGGGTTCACTGACTGCTCAAACGTGCCCACTTTGACCCTGCCATAGACGCTGGGCACCTCCTCCCCTGTCCCTGCGCAGAAACACCTGTTCACTCCTCCTCCCTGTCACATCATCCAGTTTCAGTCTCCTTGACAGGATCACTATCTGCTTCTCATTTATTTGTTGGTTTTGCTTTTTATTTCTCTGCTCTAACTAGAAGGTGAGATCCATGGGACCAGGGACCTCTCAGGAAAGAAAAGTCTTAACCTGCTCAGCCAGCTAACTAGCTTCTTACCGTTTTATGTCAGCTGTTTGGGCCCTGCATGCCTGTTTCCGACTGCAGACGGCTCAGGACAGTGTCTGCAGGGCCCTTCTCACGAGAATGTGACGAAGTGGCAGTGGAAAGGGACTTCCGAAAAGCCAAGCTCATGACGGGTGCTGACTGTGTTCACTGATGATTATTGTTTATACTTTTTACAAAGTATGCTGTATGATTTTGAATCTACTCAATATTTAATACAAAATATTTCAAAAGAAAAATGTTTTAGCAATTGGATTTAACTTTATATCCCTGATTATTCATTTCAATAGAATATAGTAATGAAGAAACAAAACACTTTATGAAAATATATGGATTCAGTAGAATAGAGGATAAAAATTGGAGAAACAATCTGAAGCCACCTGGAAGAAAAATATTTTTTAAAATTCAGACTTAATGTGAAAAATTATCCATCATATATCCCCACTCAAAAATCAGTTTATAGATATAAAGACAGAATAGAGGAAAAGGCAAGAAAATATCCTGGGGCGGGGGGAGCAGAAACTAAAGTGATAGACACTGCATTCCTCGGTTATCTCTGTACAGGGACATTCGTCACCTAAGATGTGTTAGTCTTCCAGGCCTGCATCTTGCAGGCCCTGCAGTAATTGTTATGTGTTTCAGCTTGTTAGAAATACAAGGATTCGAGTTTCCCTGCACCACTACGGGTGCTTAACTTACAGAAAATAAAAATGTAGAAAGTGAGATAATACATTCAAAGATTGTGGAAGATGTTCTCCTCTCCATAGGAAAGAGCAAACAAGTTCATGAGACTCTGTCACCTAGTTCTGAATGCCTGTTTCTCTGAGCTCTGACTGAGAGCAAATGGGTAAGTATAGGTTCTGAGAAGGACACATCCGGCCACCTCACCAGAATGCCTCTGCCCCTCGCCTGGACGTTCTGTTCCCCGAGAGGGACGTCTGGGACATCTCTCGGGTTGTGCTGACTGTCTCGAGCCAAGTCTTATTTCCTACAAGGTTTTAAACATTTCTGTAAGACAAAAAAGTTTGGGGAATTAAAAAATGACATGGATTCTTGGCAAATAGAGAACGATTGTATGAAAGTGTAAGTGGCTGACCTAAGAGCAGGTACGACTCCTGGAATTTATGTCAGAAGCAATCTTGGAGGCATATCGACTCTACTTCACCCGGTCATTTATGAAACATTTTAACACTTTTCTCGCTACACAAAAACAGCTGCTTTGTGAATTTAATTTTAAAGGAAGATGGAAAAGCTCTTTAGAGCCGGGCAACGTATAAAATGGTTTACTTAGAAAACACAGATAAATAGCGCCGTGAGACCAAAGACAGAGAAGACCATCTGTTTTCCTCTAGGGTTATTGTTCCACCTGTCAGTCTGTCCAGTTCCCAACTTTCTAGTTGTTTTCTTTATCGAGATGAAGTGTCCAGATTCAAGCACTGATGTGTTTAGACGAAAAGCATTTTAGCTAGGAGGATGCAGGGCCCAGGAGCCCCTGTTACTTGCCATATTGAAAGAGTCCTATATGCTGTGAGCCTGTGAGCACTTTGTAACGAAGAAAGAGATGATTCACTTGACTAAGTCAATTGCTACTTAGAAAGCTGATGACTAGAAGTTTGTCTTGGTTTGGAGGATGGCGTTGACTTTCAGGTTACACTTCATTCACGTGCGTTTGTTTATTCTGTCAGAGGGGCTTTGGGGAGGGACACTTTCACGTTTGGAAGTAGAATCATGCATTCTATAACCTACTGCAGAGGAGATTTTTGTGTTTTTAACCATTTTATATTAAAACAAGATTGGAGGACAGCATCAATTTCAGTAACTCCGTGTGATTTCTATTTATTTTACTTCCTAAATGAGTTGTTGTATTAAATGTGAGCAACTACAAGGTTTCTGCTACCAAACAACAGATTGTGAAATGACCTTTTGCATGAAGTTCCTCTGCGGCCTTCAGATAAGCAGGTACCAACACAGTGACTGGTGAACGGGGGCCATCTGGGTATCTTGGACGCTATCATCCAAAATGTATGACATGCTAATACATGCGTGCACAGCACTGTGTGATGGACCGCGCTTGTTTCTCTGTACTCCACTAAGTTTTTGTTGTTGTTCATCCTCACCCAAGGACAGGTTTCCATTGATTTTTTAGAGACAGTGGAAGAGAGGGGGAGAGAGAGACGGAAACATCGATGTGAGAGAGACACATTGATTGGTTTCCTCCCGCATGACCCCAACTGGGGCTGGGGATCAAACCTGCAACCCTGGTACATGCCCTTGACTGGAATCGAACCCACAACCCTTCAGTCTGAGGGCCAACACTTTAATCACTAAACCAAACAGCCAGGGCTCCACTACATTTTACCTTTAGAGAAATGAACACTAGGTAGATTACTATGGTTTGGGATCACTACCCTCCCACACACACCCAAAATCAGAACTTTTTATAAATTCAACTGTAACTTTGATTACAAGATCTATTTTTTTAAAGTAACCACTATTTATTTATGTGTATACGACACTTTCCCCTTTATCCCACCCTAGCCAAGCTTCAAGGTGTTGTGCCTGTACCTCTCGTGGGCCCGCTGACCAGCTTTCTGCCAGGACTTCCTTTACTGACACTGTCGTTTCACTTCCTGAGTCCTTGAGAGCAGTCACAGTTGATTCAACAGCCATTTGTCCAAAGGTTTATTTTGAGAGTAGTTTATTTTGTTCCTGAGTACCTGTGAAGGTATACTCCATGGCAAATTAAGCCTTTCTAGTGACAGAGTAGAAGATAACAGAACCCCATCAGCCTTGTCAGGAGAAGTTCCCTGACCTCATTATGGCTAATGGATCATGGTAATTCAGCCTGTTGTGAAATCTCATGTTCAATTATGCAGGATAATGAGTGACTCAAAACTCAATATGTCTCAACTGCAGTCCTTATTATGGAGCTTGTTCAGCTTCTTTCAAAAGTGAAAGGTTTTAAATAGGGTTCACTCTTACATCCGAATGAAAGTTATCACCAGTATTCAGGCTGCCCTGATTTTTAAATATCTGATTTGGTTTTGAAATATGAGAGGATTCCTATATAACTTTATATTTCACTGGTCCTTTTTGTGGGAAAGTTAGGACAGGTTTATTCATTTTTAAGTGTTAATTCTGGAACTCTAAAAGCATGCAAATGGCATTTGTCTTTGGATTCACAAAAACTCTAGATATTCAGAGTTTGAATTATTTAAGCTCCCACAACACATGCACTTTTGCTTTTCAAGCATGAGTTATAATTTAATTAAAAACTTCTGGTGCATTGCTAGCATTTTAAATATTAATATGTTCCATGGATCACTTTCGATTATCTACTGTCTTGCAATTCTTGAAGATGTCAGATTTTTAAGATTCCCAAAGTTGCACTTGGAATTGTCTATTGAGGCAAAGGGGACTGTGATAATTACACACATCCATTAGGGTGAGAAGAGGAGATAAACTTCGGGGAGGCTTAATGGGCATGTCTCAGTGACAGCTAGCAAAGAGCATTTGGCATGATTAAGGATGGATTTGAATGCAGTTGAAAATACACTCTCATTATGGACACCAGTGGAAGTTGCACCACAAATGTTAAATTCCCCAGAAGAGTGGGGTGGAAGGGGAGCTCTGAAATCCACTGTGGCCGTCATCCAGATTTCTTTCTTTCCTTCATGTCTTCCTGCTGTCAGAATCACTTTGAGGTGCCCAGCTCCACTCCCTGCATCTCTGTCGGTCTGTGTTTCAGATTGTCCGGAGGTACATCAAGGACTGGCTGGAAAGGACGAAGCCTCCTTTCGGAGCGGTCAGCAGCAGCGTGCTCCTCATGATCATCTACACGACCTTCTGTGGCACCTTCTCCAACCCGAGCATCGACCTGGATAAACTCAGCCTTGTGGTCATTCTGTTCATAAGTAAGTAGGAAGACAGAGGACCTTTGCTATCCCCTCAGCCTCCTCACCAGCAAAGCATAGCAACTCGTGTGCCCTAGATTCATTGTGAATGTTAATCGATTAGAAAAGAATACTTGGTTTCATATTATATGTACTCAGTGACTCATCAAGTGCATCTTTTTTTTTAAAAAAGACATTAGTAATACACTTATGACTTAATCTCCTTTGTCTTTTTATGTCAGATTTACAGTGGTTGATGTCAAATTCAAATGTTAGATTGAACACTTTTTTTGCCAATTTATATTATTATAACTTAAGCTAATCTTATTCTTTATCATGAATTAGAAGTAGGATTTCTAATATATGATACTATTGTTTTATAACACTTGGTTAAAATGTGAATATTTACATCATGTTTCTATTAAAATATACCCAAATTAATATCATTTCACTCTAAGAACTAGCAAACTGTAAAATGCAATCACCTGCTAGGCTCAAAAACTCATTTATGTGTTATCTATGGCTGCTTTCTATTAGAAGGCAGAACCAAATAGTTGCCATAGAAACCATATGGCCCTCGCCCTGGCCAGTTTGGCTCAACGGTTGGAGCGTCGGCCTGCGGACCAGAAAGTCCCAGGTTCGGTTCCCGCTAGGGGCATGTACCAAAAAAAAAAAGAAAGAAACCATATGGCCCTCAAGCCTAAAATATTTTTTGTGTGGCCCTTTAAGTCAACTTTGCTGACTTCCGCTCCAGACCAGAGATGGGAAGAAGAGAGTGGGTGACCCTTCGAGGTGGCATCAGCCACAGAAGAGGCCAATCTGGTTTACAGGCTACTCAGTCCTGGTTCTTTCACAGTTCCCAGCCTCCATCAAGCTACAGGCAGAGCTCAGAACAATATTTTTAAATGTAGCAACTAATTAAAACACTGCTTGTTAACCAAAAGAAAAAAATATATATTTTGCTCTATTTATGCTGTAATACCAACGACAACTTTGGTCATTGTAATATCAAAGAATCTTATGTTATCAAAAATCAAGATGAGCTATTCCAAAATATTTATTATATCTTACCACATTTATGCTCTTTGTTATAAGTACTCATAGTATAAACCAGCTCTCTAAAGTGAACAAATTAAATAACCAAATCTTAAGTCAAAGGGGGTTTTCGATGTGCTGTGAGTAATAAACCTCATAGTTTTGTATCTGGGGATATCTTCCACGAGAACAGGTTGAGTCCCACTAATTTAAATGATTTTTATCAGTTCAGCAATTTATGCTTGTTTGTTTTTCTGAGTTCCTGTAAGTTTCAGATCAAACAAAGCATAGCAGCAAATATGCTACAGATACTGCTTTTATAGTGCTAATTTAGATTGAATTCCTTTTTTTTTTTTTCCCCAGTATTTTCTATTCAGCTGAGTTTTATGCTTTTAACCTTCATCTTCTCAACACGGTAAGTGATTGGTAATTCTTGCTGTTGGTTTTCTCATTGAGGAATCACGCCCTTGACTTGACCTCTGGGCCGTCATGCTGTAGTTTTTCTCGCCTGCCTGAGCGTCCCACCTTGCCCCTGCCTCCCTCAGGTGGAGGCTTCAGGAAAGGGTCTGCCTGGGCCCTGGTGTCTGTGCACATGGTCTCCTGGCGCCAGCTGTCAGCCTACGACCGTGGAGCCCAGACCTTCCGCTCCGGTGTTTGTCCTGCGTTCCAACATGACTCATCCTCTCCCAGTTAGATGCCTTCCCCGGCTGTCTTAATAAGACCTCACACTTTGAACAATTCCACCTTGTTCAAAGTGGAATTAAGCTTTTCCCCCAACACTTTCTCTTTCCCTCTCATTTGTTTATTTACTGTTCATGGAACCACTGTCCACAGAGTTACTCAGACTGGAATCCTTCACGTCATTATGCTTGGAAAAGCTCTGATCCCACCTCTGGAATGTTTCTGTGCTTCCAAAGACTTGCCCAGTCCTGGCTGGCTGCCTCCTCTGGCCCTGCACTGTCGCAGTGGGTGACTTCCTGGCATCCACTTCTGGGCCTGCCTGTTTAATGCCTCCCGTACCGCTTCCTCCCAGTGCTGACAATGTGCTCATGCTCAGAGATCTTCAGTGGTTGTCCAGTGCCTGCAGAATGAAGTTCCCTTAGGGTGGCTAGGGCAAGGCCAGTCTCATGAACCACTACTAGCAATCATGCGGTCTAAGCTGTAGGTTGAGGTAAAATCTTTGCTGTCCGCTGAAAGCACCTCACGCATACGCGTCTTTCCTTTGCCAAGGCCATCTCATGTCAGTCTGCACATCCTCGTTCATCCTTCCTGGCCATAAAGGCTCGCCCCTGCTGCAGCATCCGCCACCACTGGTATGCACTCACCAGGAATCACCTAAGCCTCTGGTATGAGACGTTACCACGGCGAATGCTGGAAATAAGAGAGAATTCAGATCCTGCGTGAGTTTATAGGCTAGATATATGCATCGATAACTAAGTGTGCTCTTAGTGATACAGAAAGCCAACCTGTATTCCATTCAAAGAAGAAAGCACTCCCCAGGAGAGTGCCAGAGCAAGGCTTCATGGGAGAGCTGGGGTTTGACATGAGTAAACAGTGCATCTGTTTTTTGCATCTGTTTGCTAATTATTCAGCAAACAGATGCAAAGAGGGGGTAATAGCGGGAAAAGAAACAACAATGCAGATGTGGGCATGCACACACGCACACGCACACACACACACCACGATGTGCTGGGTCAATGAGTAGAGGACGATTAAAAATAGTAACAGTACCTGGAAAGGTGAGCTTGGGATGGATTGCTAGGCCCTTGAAGGCCGGGCGGTGGCAGTGAGTTGCCAGGGGCGGGGGGCCTGGGTGGTTTGTGAGGCTGCTGTGTCAGGGCAGTACAGGGCCCAGCCCCACACTGGGCAGCTGGCCCTAGGCCACTTGGTATAGCAGGAGCCTGAGTGCAAACCGTCAGTAAAAACTCAGTGAGTGGTGTAATCAGAAGCATTTTTACAAAGCCCGTGTTGTGATTTATGAGCCATTGAGTTTCAGAGAAAAGGTGACATTTGAGTAAGTCTGAGAGAGGGAGCTATTTTAAAGTTGTGGCTTTTTGTAGATGGCTTATTAGGTCACCTCAGAAAAGACTGGCCCTTCACTGGCTGTTTGCTGGCCCTTGTGGCAGAGTGAGGATCAGGCCATCCTCCTGTGCTGTTAGACTGAGTAGGATGCCATGCCCTGTGAGGGGGTCACTGAAAAATTCTAGAAAAGAACAGAAGAGCCACCACTGGGATTTCTGAAGGGGTTCCGGTGGTGTCACAACTGGTTGCATTAAAATGGAGACCTTTCAGCCTGAAGTAGACTGGACCTTCCTAAGGCCCCGTGGTTTTGAGACCCTTCTATTCTGCCTTCACTGAAGTTCTGTTGCATTTTGAACATGCTTGGCCCAATGTCAGACGTGCACGTTCTTTGATAAACAACAGACTGTGGAGTGGCTGTAATCATGCTCCTGAGTGATGGGTGTGTAACCCCTAACATCCCATTAAAACGTGGAGATTTTTCAATTGGACAAACTTCAGATGATTTTTGCTTTTGTTTTTCCTTTCATGCTGAGAGACTTTGTAGCACATGAGGATTTTATTGGAGGAATGAAAATTGCCAGGCACTGTGCTAGGAATTGTGCACATACTATTTCCCGTATGTCTGACAGCAAAGACTGATATTATGCATTTTTGTTGCTATTCTGCAGATGAGAACCCATGCTTAGAGCAGTTCAGTTTAGTAATTTACCCAAAATCAAACGGCAGATAGTACTCCTAGGACTGAAGTCAACTTCCGTGTGACGTCTCCAGAAGCACTGACCCATGCTTCTCCTACTGCACTGACTACGTTAGTTTCTTTTAAAATCCGTGATGTGTGCTTTGGTTAGGGGTTTGTAGAGAATGTTTAACTGGATTCCTCACGTTCATACAGGAACACAACAAACTAATCAGAGACGCCAACATTTGGAACTAGGACCCATTGGTTTATATGCTATTGAATGTAATTTTATTTTCCTACTTTTTGTTCCTTCCTACTTAAAATTGGTGAAATTGGCCTGTGGGTTTCTTCCTCTTTATCTTACCAATTCAGTCCATCTAAAACCAATCCAAATATCAAGACAAGAATCTCAGCATGAAGTCAGTCCTCTTTTACAGCCTGCCACTGACTCCAATGACAGAGAGTTAGCACAAACCAGGAGAGACCCGCCCAGGACATTCAACTTCCCTGCAGCTCTCTGCTCCCTGTTTAACCTTTGTCAGGTGACTGGCCTGACATGCGAACCTCTTCTGCTCTGAGTATTTAAGATACATTTGAGGGTTATTGTTGTGGTCTCATTTCTCTGTCTAGAATCGTATTCAGGTTATACATCTCAACCCTGGAGCTAAACGGACTTGAGTTTCAATCCTGTTAACAACTTCGTAACCTCTGTCAGTTTCCCCATGTATGAAATGGGGACAGTCATAGTACCGTCTCATAGGGTCTTTGGAGAATTAAATAATATGTACATAGAGCCCTCAGCATAATACCCAGCATATAGTAAGTGCTCAATGAATGTTAGCTACTGTAGAATATTTGTTATATCAAAATAGTTCATATTATTTTAAGAACTAGTTATGGAAGAGAGGGAATCAGCATTTCCAGTTTGTAACACATCCTTTTGGGTGTGTGTGTGTCACAGCTGCGAGGAAATGAGAGTTGATTCATTAAACCAAGTCAGCCATTCGTAGTGACCTACTGTAGAAAGTTGTGCTTTCTACAACTTTGGGAAGCTGTCAAAGTTAAGGAAAAAAAATGTTGAAAAAGCTTAGAAAAAGAAAGCAGTCATTGGGAACCTTTTAAAAATATATAAAAGACAGTTCAATAAGCAGATAACAGTAAGAGAAGCTGAAAATGTCACAAAATGTGACAAAAGAAAGCATCAACGAGGAAAAAGAAAGAAAACAAATATTCAAATATTTGTGTAGGTCTTTTAATCCTTATCAGGTGTCCCAGTGGACCGGCCCCATAGCCCTGGGAGAGAGGAGGGCGGGGAGGGGAGGGGAGAGAGGGGCCAGGACCTTGTTAAAGGCAAGTGTCTTACCATTGCAGAGATGGGGCAGCTAAGCCACAGAGCTCTAGGCAGCCTTTTTAGTGCCACTCAGCTGATGACAGAGGAGGTCGCCTCCTAAAATGAGTGAAGACAAAACACAGGTCCAGAGGTCAGCAAAGGGAAGCATTTCGCGGGGAAGTTCCCTCTGAACCAGCGGCGCACGTGGGCTCTCAGAGGAGTGTTCTGCTCGCATCCTGTGATCCCCCCCGCAAAACCTTCTGACACCTTCTCCTCTGCGGGTACTGCGCAGGAAAGCAAAATAGATGTTATGTGCAAACCCTGATGGAAAGCTTTGTGAGAGAATACAAAGATCATTTGGGGAGGAAAGGAAATAAACATCTCAAGGGAAGCCCACACGATCAAAAGAATTATAAAAGCAGGATAAAAAGAAAATCAATATTAAAAAGAGATAAGGTAGAATTAGAAAATAAATGGTAATGTGATTCCTTTCAAAACTGTGAGCAGGCACAATAGAGATGCTAATCACTGGAAATAATTATAGTCATTACTATGTAAATACAGCGCACAGCGCTCTTTCCCCGGGGTCTTGTCAGGCCTTTCTGCCATCAAGCCGGCCCTCCACCCTCCAGCGTATGGCCTGGGGAAGGTTACCTAACAGGATAGCCACTCTCGTCCACTCACTTCTGTGGTGGGTTTTGCTTTTGGTGTTTTGTTTTAAATAATTTCCTTCTCAGAGGCAAACTCCTCTCCAAGATTTGGGGCAACCTACTTACTAGCTGTGGGACTTGAAGGAAGTTGTTTAACCTTCTTTGTGCTTCGAGTCCCCTGTAGAGAAAGCAGGGCGGTAATACAACCCACCGGTGAGACTGTTCAGGCTGAAGGCCGTGCCAAGTGCTGGGAAGGCGGCAGTGCCCCCGCACCGGCTGCATCAGGATGGAGGGCTGGGTGGGCCGTTGCTCTGGTCGGTTTCCCCAGGATCCGGTTTCCCCATGGTGTGACGTGGCCTGTTGCTTTATAAACAGAGTGTAGGTCCACCCTATTTAAGGGGAATATTGTTTTTAGCCTTAAACATTCTTCTTTATTTACTGATCCTCCCTCCCGACTGACGACTGTCGCTAGAACTTTAGGGCCGTGTCAGCTGTGAGCTGGGCGACCAGGCAGCAGCCTCCTGGCGAGGGCCGGCTTCCATCTCCTTCCCGGAAACAGGGCAGGGACGCGTCTCCGCAGACGTCCTCTTTGGCCACGCTGTCCCTGTGCTGCTCCACCCAGTGGCAGCCAGCACCAGCTCAAACCAGGGCCTTCTTGGCCAGAGACCTGTCACCCTGGAAAGGTGCTATGAGCTGGAAAGGAACAGACACGAAGCAGATCGAGGTTCCCCAAGGAGAGTGTACTGCCACACTCTCGGGAAGAAAACCCAGCTACGTGAACCCAGAGGCAGCAACCGCTGGTGATGAACCAGGGCAGCACGGGACAGAAGGACGGCCTCCGGGGGGCTGCGAGCACCCAGGCATTGCTGGGGACAGTCCAGAAGTAACATCTCTGACGTAAATCGCCTCCACTTTCCCATTCTCTCCCTGAAAGTTTTTTGCTCTTTTCACTCACCGAGTCTTCTCTGGCCCCCAGCTCACAGACTAAGGAATCAGCCCTTCGGAGGCTGACCCCTCAGTCTGGCCCTCCAGGGTGTCTGTGAGCACCTGCTTCATCCCTGGCTTCCATCCGTCTAGAGAGTCACGTTCAGGTCTCCCATGACCCTCTTCTCTTCACTACACTTCTTGACAACACCCGTCTCTCTCAGGACTGCCAACTCAGGACACCTGAGCATCCGCCTCTAGGCCTCCTCCCCAGACTGCACTGGGCCCTCGCTTCCCTAGTTCCAGTAACGCCCTGAGGCTTTTCTCAGTCCTGTGTGTTCAAAGCTTTTAATTTCTCTTTAATCCCTCCTCTTTGACAAAGCAACAGTAACAGTAAAATAACCAGCTTGTATTAAACACTGGCAGCATGCCAGACTCTAAACACACTTCGGCATTTATCATGACAACAACCCTCGGAGGCATAAGCAGAAGGCTAGTCGGTTTAAATTCTGGTGCATTTTCCCCAAAAGCTTGTGTTCTTAAGCTGTTGGGCGGGAGCACTTATTTCACACAGGTCAGCACTTGACAGATTGTTTTAATTCTGTCTTCATGTCTCACCACCATCTCCTGCCCTCACCTGCTTCCTGAGCTACTCACCGGCTTCAGCCTCGCACCATGCAGCGTGATCCCCCCTCTCTGACCTGCACCATGCGGCGTGACCCCCTCTCTGACCTGCGCCATGCAGTGTGATCCCCCCTCTCTGACCTGCGCCACGCGGCGTGACCCCCTCTGACCTGCGCCACGCGGCGTGACCCCCTCTCTGACCTGCGCCACGCGGCGTGATCCCCTCTCTGACCTGCGCCACGCGGCGTGACCCCCTCTCTGACCTGCGCCACGCGGCGTGACCCCCTCTCTGACCTGCGCCACGCGGCGTGACCCCCTCTCTGACCTGCGCCACGCGGCGTGACCCCCTCTCTGACCTGCGCCACGCGGCGTGACCCCCTCTCTGACCTGCGCCACGCGGCGTGACCCCCTCTCTGACCTGCGCCACGCGGCGTGACCCCCTCTCTGACCTGCGCCACGCGGCGTGACCCCCTCTCTGACCTGCGCCACGCGGCGTGACCCCCTCTCTGTCCTGCGCCACGAGGCGCGATCCCTCCTCTCTGTCCTGCACCACGAGGCGCGACCCCTCCTCTCTGACCTGCACCACGCGGCGTGACCCCCTCTCTGACCTGCACCACGCGGCGTGACCCCCTCTCTGATCTGCACCATGTGGCGTGACCCCCTCTCTGTCCTGCACCACGAGGCGTGATCCCTCCTCTCTGACCTGCACCACGAGGCGCGACCCCTCCTCTCTGACCTGCACCACGAGGCGCGACCCCCTCTCTGACCTGCACCACGCGGCGTGACCCCCTCTCTGACCTGCACCACGCGGCGTGACCCCCTCTCTGACCTGCGCCATGCAGCGTGATCCCCCCTCTCTGACCTGCGCCACGCGGCGTGATCCCCCCTCTGACCTGCACCACGCGGCATGACCCCCTCTCTGACCTGCAACGCGCGGCGTGATCCCCCCTCTCTGACCACCACGAGGCGTGACCCCTCCTCTCTGACCTGCACCGCGCGGCGTGACCCCTCCTGTCTGACCTGCACCGCGAGGCGCGACCCCTCCTCTCTGACCTGCACCACGAGGCGTGACCCCTCATCTCTGACCTCTGACCTGCACCACGAGGCGTGACCCTCCTCTCTGACCTCTGACCTGCACCACGAGGCGTGACCCTCCTCTCTGACCTCTGACCTGCACCACGAGGCGTGACCCTCTCTGACCTGCACCACGAGGCGTGACCCCCTCTCTGACCTCTGACCTGCACCACGAGGCGTGATCCCCTCTCTGACCTCTGACCTGCACCACGAGGCGTGACCCTCCTCTCTGACCTCTGACCTGCACCACGAGGCGTGACCCTCCTCTCTGACCTCTGACCTGCACCACGAGGCGTGACCCCCTCTCTGACCTCTGACCTGCACCACGAGGCGTGACCCCCTCTCTGACCTCTGACCTGCACCACGAGGCGTGACCCTCCTCTCTGACCTCTGACCTGCACCACGAGGCGTGACCCTCCTCTCTGACCTGAACCACAAGGCGTGACCCCTCCTCTCTGACCTGCACCACAAGGCGTGATCCCTCCTCTCTGACCTGCACCACAAAGCGTGACCCCTCCTCTCTGACCTCCTTGTTTCATCATGCAAGTCCACACCCTGTCACAGCCAGCGTCCCACACGCAGTCATCCTGGGGACTCTGCCCCTAGCCAGCTGCCCTGCACCCCATCCTTCAGTCTCACTGGTCCTTGCATGGAAAACGCATCTGCGCCTGTCTCGGCCTGTTCTCTAGAGGCTCATTCATTTGTTACTTCCTTCAAGAAGGTTCCCTGTGTTCTCCATCATCACCCACTCCCCTGCCAAGCCTGAAATAATCTTTTTCAGTGCCAAAACTCTCCCTCTCTCCCTCACCCCTCCCTCTTCCCTCTTTCTCTGTCATAGAGTATACATCTGTCTTCCTCTCCGCCATCGTTTACAGAACCTTACTTTCTCCTTTCACATGAGGCCTCCATGGTGAACAAAGGGACCCAGGAATACGTCGGCCATGTAGCACAATGTTTAAAACGTAAGAGTGGCATCACAATATAAACATGAGAACAAAATGAAGGAGCAGTAGGCTGTCTGACTCTACTCAAGGGGTAGATATCCACTGAGCATTCTCAGCCGAGGGGAGACACCAAACATGCAGCGTGGGAGGTTGTTAGGAAAGGAGCTGGAGGTGAGACTGCCTAGGAAGCATGAAGACTGCGAAGTTGCAGGGGCGAGAAGACAGGACCATTTCGTACTCTCTCAACTGTGCTGTGCACAGGGGTGGGGCGGAGGCGCAGGAGGGGGCCCTTCTCCCTCCAGTGAGTGTACAGCAGAGAGAACAGGATGTGGGCACTGATTCAGGGAAGATTTTTCCCCCAACGAGAGTTATATATGAGGCTGCTTTCTTTAGAGCCCCTTAAAAATGGGATAGATTGTTCTGTCTACAACTGTCTACCTGCAGTCGGGTTCTGACTCTTGTCTGAGTTCAGGGCGGGGAACAGAGACTCACTGTGTCTTCAAGCCCTGATTCTGCAGGAAGGACACGAGGATGATGATTACATTTCCAACCTTTGTCCTGGTTCTCTAAATCTTTGTAAGCTAAAATAGGAAACTGGAATATGGTACTCACCAGTACTGACCACCATAGCATTTGATGGCTTTTGACTAAGTGGGATTTTTTTTTTTTTTATGCTTAACATGCTACATGGCAATAGTAGACGTAGCAGTTGAGAGCATAGGCACAGGGGCCAGACCTGGCTGAAATCCTGGCTCTGCACCTCCTAGCTGGGAGCCCTGGGTAACACACACCTTCTCTGTGCCTCCGTTTTCTCGGCTGTGAGCAGGGATGTTGTCTCACTATGTTGCTGTTATTTTTCCAGGCAGAGCCCTTAGAGGAGTACTTGATACATGGTAGCTGCTGGAATATATTCTTTCAATGAAACATATGATGTTGAGTCTTTGTTCATACCATGTATTTCTCAGAAGGGTGTGTTTGCTGCCCGAAGAACATGTTGCTCGTTGAGTGAGCAGTTCTGGAAATGCGTTGACTCTTTCGTCGCATCACCGGGTTACTCTCAAGTGCCGGCCTGGCGACTTAGCCAGCAGAGTTCCTTGCTGCATGGGTTTTCTAAAGTTCTGCACCCCAGCTGATTGCATATGTGATCTTAGGAGACCTCCACCATACGTTTTTCTAAAACTGTCTCCCTTTCAGGGGTAAAGGACTCAGAAATGATTCTCTCAAAAGGAATCCAGACACTTCTGTACATTTGGGCATAGAATTGCTTGTGCCGCTGGGATGGGTTAAAGGATTTAACATGAAGGGAGGTACTGCGTTTGATGTGGGATATGTTAAATAGGCTTCCAACAAAATATTCGTAAAGCTCTTTTCTTTCTTTGCCCCTAGGAATAATTCGGGTTTCACACCAGCAGACACTGTGGCTATCATTTTCTGTTCTACACACAAATCCCTCACTTTGGGTAAGTGATTCTCAGACTCACAGACTAATTTAATTTTACCCTCAGATAGTTACATCTTATGAATGTGAAATTCAAGCAGTTCTTCTAATTAAATGGAACGGGGTATTGTTTGCTCTATTAAAGAACAATAGCAAAGCTCTGAAATGCCATCATATGATTGAACCAGTTTTGAAGGCCCTAGATGTAAAAATGTGGGATCTAGCTTAATTTGTAATGTTTTGATTCTCATAAAAGGTTTTCATTATAGCGTGTTAATGTTAAAAGCTGGAGGTGGGGGTGCACAATGGGCAAATACTTGGCTTTGGGAAGCTCTAGAGTTGCCCCTGGAAAATGTTAGCTTATTTTCTGGAAGCTTGGAACAAGGTGGAAATAATGTTGTTTCTCTAATTTGCTACTGACATTGGTTTGAAGTTCATTTCAGAATGCTATGTTACTTGTATAAAGAAACACAGTATCGTTATTATTAACTCAATCTCATTTGCACCTAAAGTGAGGTAAGTATTTAATGGACAAAAAATAGATCAGGAAGGAAAACGCTATTTCTACTTAGCTTTATCAAGTTTAGTGGCATTATCCCAATAATGTGTTTAGGCCCAGAATCCATGTTTTCAGTCATTAAAAGTCATTGAGTAATCAGAAACTTTATTGCAATACACATCATTCACAAACTCCTTAGGCTAGTAGGCACATGGTGGTAAAAACTCGTAATGAAAACTTCGCATTGGGCATGTGACTCACTGAAGAGAATGAAGAATCATGGCATAGCTGTAAGTCTGCTCATGTTGAAGTTCAGTCTGAAACTAGAAAACAAAGACATTTTGTAACGTTTTTACTAACCACACTCGTATTTGTCTGATAGCATCTGTTGTCGGTCTTGTCGAGTTTGGAAAGTGGTTTAGAAATTGGACACACTCTTTAAGGAGTTGTGATTTAGGGCTTCAGTTTTTTTTGTGTGTGTGTTGCAGTGTGTTTGGTAGGTGTTCTTTATAATCATCATCAAACTGAAGTTGAAAGAGCCCTGAAAGCCACATTCCAATCCTGGTTGTGTGACCCTGGACAAATCACTTAACCTCCCTGAACCTCAGCTTTCTCATCTGTAAAATGGGGCAGTATAATACTCACTTGGTGTAAAGTGATTGCAAAGATTAAAGATAAAATGTGTTAAGTATCTAGCACAGTGCTTACACATAACTGGCAGTCAGCCCATGTGAAAATGTGTGGAAATTGCTAAGGGTTAAGTAAGACAGCCCACTGAAAGAGCTGGGTGTGCCGCCCGCCCCCAGCAGGTACTCTTTAAGCAGTAGCTATTGTTATTAGTTCTTTAGCTATATTAGTTATGAATGTGTTGCCATTTCCAGGTTCCAGTCTCCTGTCTTGTAGATTTTCATGTAACAGGCGTGGTTTAATCGTTGACCTCAAAGAAATCATCTTACACCTTTGCCCCATGTGGTTATTGTGATGTGATGTCTGGATTTCCCAGTCTCCTAAAAAGTAAGGGGCTGTGACAAAGGTAGAGAGTCCAGAGTGGTGCCAGATGCCCCTGAGTCCCGACTGGGAATCCAGTGAGCTCGAGTCCGCAGAGCAGACGCTGAGCCGTGGCTGGCACGCACACTGAGCGTTTCTCCCGTGGGCTTTAAACCCCACCCACAGGGCGTTGCTTTTGTCAGGAAAACCAGAGTGGACCTTTTGGTTTGTCCATGATCTGTGCAGAAGCCGGCTGAGCTGAGCAAAGAGCTCTACCCAAGCACACTGCAGCTCAGTGTTCCGTCTTCTCTGTAAACACAACACCTGCTCACTCGTTCTTGATGTCTTGTCTTTTTTCTTAATCCCAAAGCCCTCCTCTCTGTTCATGCTGCTTACTGAAAGCTAAATTTCAGACAGATAGGTGCTCCAAACACCAGTCAGATGTAGCTGTTCTGTTAGAAGGGGTGGGGTACCTCAGATTGTGTTTGCTTTTGTAGTGTTCCCTCGTGAAACAGATCCTTAGATTCTCCAACACGATACTGGTATAGTTATCTAAGTAACCGTGAAGCGTTACTTCTGTAACACGGTGGACGTCATCTCTCTGGGAACTATAAAACCTCAGTCCTCATCCTGACTCTTCCTCTAAAACCTCCCCAGGCCTCAGTTTCCTTAGCTCTCAGATTAGGGACCTTAGGTCCCAGCGGGACTGTTTTATCATGCCTTGGTCGTGCCAGGCTCCCCCGCAGTCTCCCGGCAGCACGTACAAAGTCAGCCTCCTTGCTGCTTCCCTTGTCTAGGAGCACCCTCCTTTTCTCATACAGCAAGGGGTGTCCGGATCCTATTGCTAGAATGGCCTCGGTGAGCCCCATAAATCTACTGGGTCAGTCTTCACAAGATCCAGTGTGTGCTTCCCCTCCTGGTGGCCCTGGTGACATCACCGGCACAGAGGATGTGTCCCAACACTGACCCAATGCTGCTGCTAATCTGCATGGAAACGAAAGAGCTTCACACTAAGTGCTATCCGTGCGTGTTTCCGAAGGAAGGAGGAAATTTCAGATAATTTCACTTGGAGCTGCACTTTCCCTCACCTCTCTGACGCAGATGAAATACAACAGATTGTATCTACTGGGTATCGAGAAACACATCTAACCCTTCGGCAGTCACTGTCATAGTATTCTAGTGGTTACACACACACACACACACACCTCGAGTGGAATACTTAGGAAACCATTATTACATCTAGTATTTGTATTTAAGAATAAATCATCGTGAGCCAAGTGGTACCCATGTAACCACATAACCAAAGGTGAAAACTATCGCTTCAGCAGCATTCTGAATACTCTCTTGGACGTACACTCTCCATTTATTTTATTGTTCTTGCTTTCGCCCTGTCTCTGTCTCGTCCGGGTACTTGCACCTACACACATGCTGAATTTGATTCATTGCTTTTATTAGTGCATTTGCCATTGATTGATTAGTTCTTCGTATTAGTACTTTTTCTATTGATTGATTGCAGATGAAGTGACTATTTGACCTTTAATTATGAGGCTTCCTATTGAAAATGACATTGAGCTATGGCTTCACATAATCCATCTGGAAAGCCTGACATGATGCCGCTCCCCGGAGCTCGCTCGGGAAGAAAGAGGAGGCCTGCAGGAAGCGCAGAGCCTCGCGCTCCATCTAAAACCACACTGCGGGCGGGTCTGCTGGTGCCTGTAGTTGCAGCTCGAGGCTGGAGATAATTTTACATTTCCTCAGGACAGCATCCCTTGCTGGGGGTTGCCGTAAAGGCCACGGATTCTCCCAAAGTCAACTCTAGCTTGACACTGGTACCTGTACGGCGACAAGAAGCTGTTTCACGCAGCCGACTGCAGAGCAGCTTGTGCCCCAGCTAACAACGGCCCCTGCACTGGGGTCAATAGACCTCATCAGGAAAGAAATTCGATCCCAGATGCCCTGTGGAAGGAGTGTGTGATTTACCTTTTCTCTTGAGTATTCAAATCACTTTGCTTATCTAGAGTCCTGGCAGATGTAGAAAACTTTCTCATCATTTCTAGAAAGAGAATGTTTCATGGTGTTTGAGATCCTTAAGTGTATGTTCATATTCGTTTTCAGTGTTTTTAAATGGCAAAATGAAAGCATATACTCTGAAAACACGCCAACTGACTGTTAGCGATCAGCCAGGAGCTTCCTGCCTGTTTCTTATTTGCAGAAGCGTTCTCTGTGGGAAGAAGGCCGTGTAAGCTTTAAGTGCAGTGTCACGATCACCGTTTATTGAAAGTCCACTGTGTGTCTTACCACTTATGGACTCTTGTGTACCAAGGTGATTCACGCCGCTATCCCTCACGACATGTACGCTCCATCATCTGGGACCAGAAACTAAGCATTAAGCAAAAAGAATATAGCTTTTCCATAGACATCGGATTCTGGAAAGAGTAGAAGGAACACAGACCTGATTCTAGTCAGGATTGAGGTTCCAGTTGTCTCACCAACAGCTGGCCCTCCTCACTGAACTGCCGTTGGCCTCGGTTTCCCCAGCTGTGATATGAGCAGGTGGACATCACCTGCTGGCAATCCCTTCCAGCTTTCAGAGTCTGCTCGGCGGCTGGTGTTCTGCTCGGCGGGACTCTGCTCTGCGGGACAGCGGCGGCTCCCTGCTCTGTGCCGAAAGGAGCGGTTCTGTAGATAATGTTCCACTGTTACAGGAAAGGAAATAGGTCTTTTGCTTCTTCCTAAAAAGATTAGAAAATAGCATCACACTTTCTGAAGATTTTCATACGAGAAACAAAATCTGCAACGGTTCTTGTTTTCAGTTTTACTTGGAAGCTTTTCAAGAAGGCTAAACGATTACCCACAACTTGGGCTGAGAGGATCATTTAATAGAATCTAGGTTATTTTCTCAAGAGGAAATGGAATTGAAATACGAAAGTTCACTTTTCTGGGTTTTTTCCCCCCTAAAGCTTATCTGTGAGTCCACTTGACATATGAAGATTATTATCTTAATAAAACTACCCTTCATACAAGTGGGAAGTATTTTTTAAAAGCACTTAACCCATTAAGTCATGTTACCTGAACAAGGCAGGCTATTAGCAAGTCAGTAAGTATTATCCTGTTTTGCATACAAAGAAATGAACACATAGAAAAAAACAACAACAACTTATCCCAGATCGTGTAGAACTTCCAGAACTGCACTGGGTAACGGTACCAAAGCACCTGAAAGACCAAAAAGCACTGTACTGAGTCCAGGTATCGTAACTGTGCAGTCGCAGCATGGACTTGGATTGCTTTATCAGTTGTTTAAAAAAGTACTTCTGATTGCGTTGCTGGTTATTAGATGGTTTTAAACATAGATTTCCATGTGGCCCAGCCACAAACCAGCACTCATTCTTTACATTTTCTTTACTGACAAAAAATTGCGTTCCGTTTAAAGTTGTGTCCTGCTTAAAGTAGTCTTGATGAGCCATCCCTTGCCTCTGTGAGTCAACGCTGTCTGCACTCCATTCCTGCAAGCTAAGGGCCATGATTCCCTTTGGCAG